TGATCATGAAAAACTCATTCTTTGTAAGACACCATTGAGGATTGTCATTGCTCTCATCCAAAGCCATAAGGAATAGAGTGCTTAACAATTTCTCATATTCACCAATCTCCCAGCCGTTGAGATTTCTCAATAAGAAAAGATGTCATTCCTTTCCCTCCCCTCCACTTCTACGAAAGAGTTACAGATCTTAATATCTTTTTGTTGGACAATGACGAAAATCTGAGGAAACTAATCTTTGAGGGTGTCACCTTCCAACTACTGATCTTCCCATAATATGACTTTGTCTCCCTTGCCAACCTTTTACCTTATGAATGCCTGGAACTCATCTCGGTCTATACCTGCCTTTCTCCACACACCTTTCCCATGTGGTCTTAATCCCACTCTGGTGAACCACCCTCTCTCATCAATACCAAATTTTGCTACCATCACTTTTCTCCAAAGCACACCTTTTTTCAAAAACCCCCACAACCACTTATCCTTCAAAGCCTCGCTCACTTCCATCAAGAACCGCAATCCAAAGCTACCTAGGGATAGTGGCTTTTTGAGGTCGTACTATGCCACTTAATTATATCTTCTTCTACCCTCTGCATCACCCCATTAAGAACCTTCTTTGAATAACTTCTAACTTCTTGGTCACACTCCCTGGGATAATTAACAAGGACATGCAATAAATAGGTAAACTACCCAGCATGCTCTTAATGAGCTTGAGTCTCCTGCCTTTAGAAAGGATTGAGCATAGGACTCCTTTTCAGTTCACAAAAAAGCATAACATCATAAGCAAAAATTAAGTGTAACCCCCTCAACATGATCCCCTACACCTTCCATAACCACAACGAAGAGCAAAGGAGATAAAGAATCACCTTGCTTTAACCCACTAGAAGTTTGGAAGAAGGACGTCAGGCCTACATTAACAATAACCACGAATGACATTATAGTAATACACGACTTGATCCAACATTGACATTTCTCCCCAAAACCCATCCTCATGAGTATGTAATCCACGAGGCCCCAACTCACATGATTGTAAGTTGAGACCCTCAACTATATCTTCAGAAGTTGATACCCCATCCCTTCCCTTCTGTCAATCTCCTCAATCTCATCATCAATGGTTTTGCCTCCCTTTCATTTCTGATCCCCTCCTCCTTGTACCATTTCTTGATCTCCAGTTTTATGATTTTTAACCAATGTGCAACTCTGAAGCTTGCCTTTCCAACTAGGTTCATGGCTACCTACCACTCCTTAACCTTGTCCCGTAAATCATCATTTTCCAACTACTTAATACCATCTAACACCAAATATATGGGGAAACGGTAAAGAATGATTCTTTGCATGCATTGTTTACAAGAATTCAACACCTAAATATGACAAAATAATAAAACCAAGAATCTATCAATTATGGAACACGCCGAAGTGATCCTCTATTTGAACCAAGTCCATTTACCACCGATTAATGGTAAATTCATCAACTCAAGCCGATCAATCGTATCTTTGAATTCATCAACACAACTACAAGAGAAATGATCCTCTAGTCTCTCACTTCCATGAAGCACCATAACTTTCTTGATTGACCCTAACTTCCCACCCTCACCATCCTTACCACATACTCAAAAGCATTGGTACCACTACAAGAAAACCCTCAGAGACCACCAGAGAACCCACCCAATCAAGAAACTATACCTAATCTTAGATTCACTAAGGTGTATACAAGGAAGAAAAATCTGACCTTGATCAAAGCAAGTTGAAGCATCAAACACAAGTTCTGGAACCAAAGTCTTGAAGATCCTCACACAATTTAATACTAATATACCCATTTTAATTTATAAAGAAACCAAGGAATACACTAAATTCCTCTTTATCCTATCTCACAATTTTTGTTATTTGATAAATGTCCGAGTCTTATAAAACTTTTTTTACAAATTTGAATATCGGGTTTTTTCTTAACAATGCATCTGAGATATTATCCTCTGAGAATTGGAAAAATGTCATGAATGTTGAAATAACATAGGCACTAGAGAAAACCTACACTGGTAGGAGAAGATAAGCTGAAGAAGGCATTCTACGGACTCAAACAATTGCTTAGAGCATGATTTTAGTGTAGAGGTGATAATAGGCTTTGGTATAAACAGGCTAAGAGAAACCACGACCAATTTATCAAGCACTCAAAGTCAGGAGAAGTTACAGTTCTCCTAA